AAGGGGCTATGGTGCTTATGGTGTTGGGTGCGGGGCTTATGGTACTCAGCGGCAGCTAGGAAGCAACGATTGGTGGAGGCACCCAGCGACATGGGATGGGGGGCGGGAGGTAGGCACTCCAGGATTCTCTAGTGCCAGGAAAATGTTTTTTTTCTCCTGGAGAGTCCCTTTTAGCCCACTCAGGCATCTCTGTGTCTGGGAGATAATTGAGTTTATAACCGGTAAACTAATTATCTCCCTGATACAGATAGCTGAACCCAGGAAATACCCCAAAAACACCCATTAAACACGTCATATATCATTTTAAAGAGATCAGAGCACCCATCCTAGGAAATTAGTGCTCTGATCCCTGAATAATGCATTGAGAGTCCCAAACTCTTCAGTAGGACGTCTCTGTGTTTTCCTTGGAACTCTGGCTCGGCCACACTTACCACCTGGGCCTAGTCAGTTTGTATCACATCATTCTGAATGATAAAACCAGTTATACTGCCAGAAATATGTCCTGTCTAGTTATTGGGGGAACGGAGCTATATTCACCAACAGTTCTATTTCTGTCTGAGAGGAGAGTTTAGGGTTACAAGTTGTCCGCTACACTAATTATCTCCCGGATACACAAAGTACAAAACATAAAATATCCCAAAACACAGGTAATATTGTCCAGTGCCCCCACATGCCATATATTATTATTATTATTATTATTTTATTATTTATATAGCGCCAACAAATTCCGTAGCGCTGTACAATATATCCCCGGAAAGATCTCTCTGGAGCGTCCACCTTCTATGGAAACCCTGATCGTATATGGCTAGCCCGAATTCTATTATAGTACAAAGTTCAGCAGAATGTGGCTAGCCTCCAAACCAAAGAAGAGTTTCAGAGTGCTGGATAGAGTTTCCCAGTCACATTAAAGCATGGCACTTTTCGTGATGTTGTTCAAAGCCTCTATACCTCCTCTGTTAACTCTCCAAAGAGCAACCTGGTGTCCAAAATTGCTCTTGTTAAACTTTTAGTGGACCGTGTTAACTCTGCTATCCACTTTAGAGTCCCAGGGTGAATGAGAGTCACTCCCGGTCAGACGCACCATGTCTCAGCATCCCTCTGGTGGAAGATAGGTGGCTATAAACAGCCAGAAAGGAGCACTGGGCTGGGAGACATGGGTTGGAGTGTTAGTCCATAGTATGGCTTAGGTGACCAAAGGGTCCATCACATTGATATATCTGATTTCTCCTAGTCTTCTGCTACTTTCTAACTTCTCAGTGGTACCACTGCTAATTACCATGTTATTTAGTTTAATTTCTTCTTACCTGCTGCTGTTTTAACTCCCTACTGACATGTATGCTCTATCGTTTTACGTCATATAATATACTATCCATGTCTGGATGATCTTCTCAGCTTTCAAAAGCCTAGGATTACTTACCATCTGAGACATGTATGCATATCCTAGATTTAGCCTGACTTTACTTTTTTTTTTTAAATCTAAAATATAAGTAAAATCTTTGATAAAGAGTATTTAAAAACAAGCAGAAAGATTAAACACACATTTCCATTTAACAGCTCTGAAACACGTTCCATGATAAGATGCTATTCCCTTGTGAATAACATGACAATGCAGAAATTCAAGCCAGTAATTCAACCTGTAACATAAAAGCCATCGCTGAAATGAATCAGCAGAATCTCCCTGCACTCATTGGTTCTCAGCTAATGGGAAGGTGAGATCTGACTTCATTTGTGGAAATAAACAGAATATATAAGTCGCCGCAGCTACTGCAGAATCACCGTCAGAGAAAGTTCTTGCTTCAACAGTGATTGAACGGAACTGCTTCTGATATTCAGAAACAAAATCATTTTATTCTACCAGTTCTTTAAGATCAACAGAAACATGAACTCTCAAGTACGTCAGAACTACAGCCATGACAGCGAGGCAGCCATTAACCGCATTGTGAACCTTAAAATGTTTGCGTCGTACACCTACCTATCCTTGGTAAGTTGAAAAATATCTTGATATTTGACAGTGTTTATAGTAGTTTTTATAGTAAACTACCATGTTTCCTATATTCAAATATAAGAAAAACACTGTCAGACATATTTCTAATTAATCTGTTTTAAGAAAAGCTATATGTCTGTCTGTCTGTCTATATCTACTAGGAATCTATATATCGATCAATATATCCACAACTGTTGTCCATTTTTTAGTCTTACTACTTTGACCGCGATGATGTGGCTCTCCATCATGTGGCAGAGTTTTTCAAGGAGCACAGCAACAAGGAGCAGGAGTGTGCCGAAAAATTTCTGAATTGTCAAAACAAGCGCGGAGGGAGGATCATTCTGCAGGATGTGAAGGTAAACACGAGCAATGACAAACAACATTTGGGGTCTGGGAAAGGTAATCTGTATAAATACAACTACTAGCAGTCTAAGCCAGTTGCAATTATTTGCTGTTTATTGAATCAGCCTTCATACCGAGAGGGCTTTTATCAAGACCTTTATAAAGGTCTTGATAAAAGTCCTCTTGGACTGTAACATCGATATCTGTATTGTGCTGAATAAAAAGCATCTACTTTATTTCTACTAAGACCCCTGAGTGCACTCGTCTTGTTTGCATATATTCTGGTTGGAGCTAGCACCAGGGCATTTACAAGACCTGGGAACCTGGATATAGTTATTTTTTATGTTGCAACACATTCACAATATAGGGAGATATGTTTCCTTAAATGATTAAAGAAAAGTGAGAAATCTAATGTAATGTATTTCGATTCCCCAGAAACCAGAACGTGATGAATGGGGCAGCACTCTGGAAGCTATGCAGACAGCTCTGGATCTGGAAAAGAATTTGAACCAGGCCATGCTGGATCTGCACAATCTAGCAACTGAGAGAAATGACCCCCATGTGAGTTTTATTACATAACATTGCCATAATATCGGAATGCCTATATAAAGACATGTAGCCATAGCTGGAAATAGCTTGGCTTTTTGATTACGTTTTTATTATAGAATAGAATGTTCCTATAAATATATTTTATTAACCTTTCTCACTTTGATCAGTGTTTGCATGTGTTATTATATTATTGCCAGTAGAGGGCTGAGTATCATTGGTTATAAATGCCGGTATATACAGCAACCTGATGAATACATGTTTAGCTGTCATTTGATGTCTGTATGAACGGCTTCTAACTCTCCTAATGTTTATATTACATTTTGTAGACCTGAATCTGCTATCCAATCATACAACAGGGCTTTTTACCCCTCTAAGTTTTCTGGATGTAGAGGGTAAACATCTCTCAGACCCACTTTAAATCTGTTTATAACAAAACCAATAGCAATGGATTTCCTACTGCTTTTCGGAAGATAACCTACATTGTGATGATTGGGGAGTTCCTTACTTTGGGCAGACTATATGGGCCGAATGGTTCTTATCTGCCGTCACATTCTATGTTTCTATGGTGTCTACCTAGAACATTGTTCTTCAAACTTATCCTCTTGACCCACAGGCTACATTTTATACAATTACTGCTAATGAAAGTGAGAAACTCAGTGGCTGTGTCATGGTACTTCCATAAGAATATATATATAAATATATATGTATGGGTACACCAAATTTTCTTTTTATATTCTGTATATATTAAATAAAAATAAAAGACTATAGTAGCAACTTATTATAATAAAATACACTTATGTTCCAATTAATGGTTACATGTATTGTATTATAATAAGTTGTTACTATAGTCTATTAGTCGTATTTATTATATGCAGACTATTAAGAAAAATGCACACATATATTTTTTTTTATTCCTGTTGAATTATTTAGTTGCTCGGTTTGGGCTGCTGCCTTTTCAATCCATTTCTATAAATTTTTATTAAATTCCACTTTGTTGTTTGACTCCCATGGGAATATCTTAAATTCTGGTCTGTTGGTGGATCCCGAACACAATTTGGAACAAGAGTGATTGAGAAAAAAAAATTGTTCCTCAGATTATGTATCAAATATATATAATTCTAGATGAGATCTGGGCTCCGTTACTATTTATACTCCTATACTTGCTTTCCACACTACGCGTAAGCATCTTTGGGGAGAGTGGAGACAAACATGGTTTTAGGGGTTGAGTACTGATGTTGTTGGATATATGTGCACTGCGGCATTGCGCATAACTGTAAAGAGTCTTGTGGACTAGTTTATTGGTTCTGAATCTGAGTTTATGTCTTAACCCTGTTGTCCTTTTACAGTTGTGTGATTACTTGGAAAGTGAGCAGCTGGAGGAATATGTGAAGAACATTAAGAAACTTGGCGATCATATCACTAATCTGAGACGCCTTGGAGTGCCACAGAATGGCATGGGAGAGTACCTGTTCGACGAGCACACCTTGTCGTAGAGCAGCAAAGATCTCCATCCTCAGAGAGAGCACATCCAGCATTCTATACATTCCTCCTAATCCTTCCTCTGTCACAAAATGTGATGCTATATGACTATCTCTACTGTCAATATGTCATTGAACTGCAATTTCCATTATGTTTGGTCATGGAAGTTATAGTTTAAAATCAAACTGTTTGTTCTAAGCCCTGTGAAAGCATCCACTGGTAATCCCCAAATAAGTTTGGTAATAGCCTCTCTTTGGAAAATAAGAAAGTTTTGCTCGCCTGTTTTCCTGTTTTCCGAACATTAAAGAGAGCATGTCATTCAAAATGCATATTGGCTCTTGTTATTATTTGTAAATGATGTTTGTAGATGTTACACTGTGTTTATAACTTAAAGGTCTATCGTCAGTAAATGATGTTCTGTGTTTCTCCTTTTTATATGTTATTACTTTTACATGTGTTTGCTGCTCCTGCAATGTACAGCACAGTGATCATGCATCAAAGTATATCTAAAATGGTCCTACCAGACAAGTGGGTTCCCACTCAGCATACGAGTCCAGATGCAGGACAAAAGTACTGGACTCGATCATAAATAGTAAACATTGTCCTTTATTTGAAACACAGTATCAAATCAGAGCATGCGTGATGGGGCAAAGGAAAAGAGATGCTAACGCGTTTCGTGCCCTTGCAAGGCGCTTCCTTCGTTGCTTCTGCAATTAATGTTTACCATGAGATTCTGGACTAGAATCACAACGATGCAGTTAAAGTTAAAGTTCCAGTTATATTGGTCTTGACATTTAATGTGTATACACAAAAAACTTGCTGCAGGGGATTACTACCACAGGGTGCTCCAGACAAATTCTCCACAAACTCCAATTACTAGAAATGTCCAGGCACATCCAATGGTTTCTTCATGGGTCACATCAACTGTGCTCAGTTCACAATGTCACCCGTCAGCTGTCTGAAGGTGAACGAGAAGCTCCTGTAAATTTAGACTGGTATAGGTATCATTAATGTTTGAAATAACATGTTAATATTATGTTGTCATCCTTATATTCAAGCTCTTATCCATTGAAAAGCGTGTTTGCGTCATACTCAATTAAATTGGCCTTTGCATATTAATAAAAATTAGTAAATTAAACTTTGCCCATCTGTAAAACCATAAAAATAAATAATTTCAGTAGTCAAAAGATGCCATTTGACATGAAGACTCTACATCCTGAAATGGATTAACTCCTTCAGAACCCATGAAAGATGTGCATAACCCTCGTCCTGAAGGTGGTAAGACTCAAAAATATTAAATAGGTAAAAAGAAAGCAAAAAAGAAAAAGCAATAACACTGTGTATTGTACCTAAATTCATTATTTATTTAAAAGTCACTTATGTCATTGAATACTTCTAATCAGACATTCGACTTTTAGTGTACAGTCCCTAAAAACATCTAACGTAGAAGCATATATACAAAATATGCATAGTAAAAATATGTCTCATTTTATCTGTTGTAATGGATGAAGCTATTCATGAGATGCATCATTGACACTTAGGAATGTAGATCATTGGGAAGCATGAAAAGGTATGTTAAAAATGAAGAGATAAGTTAATATTGCATTAAAAATTAAAAATAAAAAGAATATATGTGCTGAGAAAATACCCCTCTCACTGCACACAGACCACATCAATGAGCTGAAGTGATCTGGGTAAACACAAAAAGAATTCGGCGCTAGTAATCACAAAATTAGTCAAGGTAGGCAGCAACCCAAATGAAGGAAAACCCCTCGGGTCCTTCGGTGGATAGATACAAAAAGATATGGAAGGGCTGCGCCAAATAAGGCGCAGCCCTTCCATATCTTTTTGAAGTGATCTGGGTGCCTATAGTGTCCCTTTAAGGTAAAAATAGCCAAAATTGGAAAAAAAATAACTGTCAGGAATGCTTTCAGTTTGGCTACTCTGGCACTAAATTTGATATTTCCTTTGAATTCTCAATTTAGTAAGTAACCTAACTATGTGCTGAACTATGTGAATGGACAAAGAGGGACACTTTAATTCTAGGGGTGTGAGTGGAGGCGTGGCCAAAGTGTGGCTGTACTGAGAAATTTTAGGAAACTTACTAATAACAATTTTTCAAATCTAGACGTTCCAAAATTAATTAATATTATAAACTTTCTAACATGCCTGAAAGCAACCAATCTAGGTAAAAGTGACTCTCTAATCCTCAGCCAGATAAAGTCAAAAAGAAACAATTACATTAAAGCACTTGAAAATAATAAGGAAGATAAAAGGTCTAACAAAGCTGTCAGAATGCACAGTCCCTAGTCCCGATGTGTGTTTTGACGGTCAGGTGGCTCTTCGAGGGATAAGTATTTCTGGCACCATAATCACTACATCAGCCACAGCACAGTCACCACTGAGAACGCCATCAAAACTACAGGCTCCCAGGACAATGTCAAAGACTTGCATTGCTGCAAGGAGAGAGGTTTAGGAATGGCGTTACTATCCTGTTTAAATGAGTACTGTGGGAAAGAAGGCAATGGTCCTAATACGTGCATTAACCATTGCAAGCTTGAAAAGAAAAAAAAAAATGTACCCTTGTAAATATAAATCAGAAAACAAGACCTGAGGTGGAGCATGCCTTAACCCCTTAAGGACTGAGCCAAATGTACACGTTGTGAACGAAACAAAATGTAAACAAAACCTGGCATTTGCGCTACATGTCTGTCCAACCGTAATACACCTCTTTCATATTAAATGCACCCACCCTTATTATATATCATTTTATTCAGGGGAAACAGGGCTTTCATTTAATATCAAATATTTAGCTATGAAACATAATTTAATATGAAAAAAATGGGAGACAATATTTTTTTGATTTTTTTAGTTCTACATGACATTTTAACGGTCAATGTCATAATACTGTTTGCTTTTACTGCAATAAAATACACATATTTGTATTCAGCAAAGTCTCACGTGTAAAACAGTACCCCCTATGTACAGGTTTTATGGCGTTTTGGGAAGTTACAGGGTCAAATATAGCACGTTACATTTGAAATTGAAATTCGCCAGATTGGTTATGTTGCCTTTGGGACTTTATAGTAGCCCAGGAATGAAATTTACACCCATAATGGCATACCATTTGCAATAGTAGACAACCCAAGGTATTGCAAATGGGGTATGTCCAGTCTTTTTAGTAGCCATTTGGCCACAAACACTGGCCAAAGTTAGCGTTAGTATTTGTTTGTGTGAAAAATGCAAAAAACGCCAATTTTGGCCAGTGTTTGTGACTAAGTGGCTACTAAAAAAGACTGGACATACCCCGTTTGCAATACCTTGGGTTGTCTACTATTGCAAATGGTATGCCATCATAGGGGTAATTTTCATTCTTGGGCTACCATAGGGTCTCAAAGGCAACGTAACCAATCTGGCGAATTTTAATGTGAAAAAAATGAAACGCAAGCCTTATATTTGACGCTGTAACTTTTGAAAACACCATAAAACCTGTACATGAGGGGTACTGTTGTACTCGGGAGACTTCGCTGAACACAAATATTTGTGTTTCAAAACAGTAAAAAGTATTGCAGGAATAATATCGTCCGTGTAAGTTCTGTTTGTGAGTGAAAAATGCAAAAAACTTCAATTTTACTGGCGATATCATTGTTGTAATACATTTTACTGTTTTGAAACACTAATATTTGTGTTCAGCGAAGTCCCCCGAGTAGAACAGTACCCCCCATGTACAGGTTTTATGGTGTCTTGGAAAGTTATAGGGTTAAATATAGTGCTAGCAAATTAAATTCCCTTTACTTTCGGCATGGGTTGTCAGGCAGGTCAATTGTAATTAATTGAGATACCCAATTATGTAAAATTATTACATAAATATATATGTAGATTTAATATATGCATATATATACGTATGTGAATATATATGTATATATATATATATATATATATATATAATTTTAAAAAAATATTTTTATTTATATATAGGTATATATATATAGTGATATATACGTATATATTTATGTATATAGATATATATATATTAATATCACAAAACAGTTAGAACGAAATAACACACATCTATATATTTTTTAATTATTTATTTTTATTTATTTTTTTATTTTATATTTTTACGTATTTACATATTTAATTTTTTTATATTATATATAAATATATATATAACAATAATTATATATATATTTAATCAGTATCAGTCTATGTGTAATTTGATATTAATATATATATATATATAAAATTATATACATATATTAATAGTAAAATACACCTATACAGTGTACGTGTGTGTATGTATATGTGTATATATACTTAGATCATATATATCTAAGTATATATTATTATTTTTTTACACTGATTAACTTTTATTTATTTTATTTTCAGCCAGCAGGGGGACCACCTGTCATTACAGGCAGCCCCCTGCTGGCAATGCAGGAGGCAGCTACCCCCGGCCATGTGATTGTGGGATCCTCGCAAGGACCTCACTCTCACGTGGCCGGGGGGCTTCCAGAGGCTCGGACGTGCCCCTGTGGGAGTCCCCCCAACCGCGATCGCCGGCGACCGGGTAAGTACAGAAAGACCGGAGGGCATACTATTACGCCCGGCGGCGTTTAGAGCCGCTTAAAATAGGGGCGTAATAGTACGCCCTCCGGTCCTAAGGGGTTAATATGGCTGCTCCTTTTAGGGTGTGGCATGTCCATGGAGCTCCATTGGTGGTAAGTGTTGATGTCTGCTGCAGCTCCCACACACATAGGGACCTCTATCTCCTTGCCACAGCATTCAGAAGTGGATCGGCGGGTGGGAGGCCAGGTATGGGTGTGCGCCGTGGTACACTGAAATGCGGCAGACGCCATCTTAACTTATGTACCGTGCACAAGTGTGTTTTTTTAACCCCTGCAGTGACATTCCCTGTATAAGACTACCCCCAATTTTAGACTTAAACATTTTTGAAAAAAACAATTTTAAAAACATGGAAAAATACAGTATATTCCTGAATATTATGTTTTTGCAAGTATTCATCGAGTTGCTGTTTAAACATATGTGTAGACTCTGTTAAAACCACTTTATTATTCTAACTGTAAAAAAAGTTTTCTTTTGCCTTAAACTAAATCTCCTTTCTTCTAGTCTAAATGCGTGACCTTGTATCCTATGTATAATCCTGTCTATGAATAGATTTCCAGACCGTGATTTATACTGGCCCCGATGTGATATGCTTTTTAAAAAACAGAAAGAGCAGTCCTGTAACATTTACTCCACTACCAATAAAACAGTGTATTGTAAGAAAGAAAACAAACAGAATGTCTTATTAATGCAATATGAAAGAACATACACTAGAGGGGGCATCTGTTCTACCATTCTCGAGACTTCTCAGTGATTGTTTAGACACAGAAAATTCAGTTCTTCTGAATAATTTAATCCGAAAATTTAAAATGATTAGGAAGATTAGAACTAAGTGTGCAGAGTTATTTACCAGCTAACCCATGGCTTTGTATAAGGGTGGCCACAGGCTGCTTCTATTTTTAAATGATCTAATTGCAAGGAGGGAGTGGGCAAGCAAACAAATTGTATATCTGAATTTTCATCCAATCAGTAGTTTGTTCTTTATTTATTATTAAGAATGAACAAACGCTGAAATGGCACATCAATCCAATGTGAGTGATCCTCCTCAGCAATTGTTACACAGACCAGCAGCTAAATGACCTATTCCTGTGTGATGACCCGTTCTAATGCTCAATAGAACAAAACATCAAGAGAGATGTAATTATGTTCACTTAAATGAAATAAACCTACGGTAAATGATGCAAACTCTTGGCAATATTTGAAGAAAGACAAACAAATAGCTACCTTCTGACTGTTAAGACTAAACAATCCTGCCACTCAGTAACCAACACAATACAAGTATGTGAAGCATGATGATGATGCACTCTAATGCAGCTCTGTAACAGCTCTGTAACAGACACAATTGTTGGGTGCAAACTAAATGTGATGTAATGAG